AAATTTTATAATAAAAATTAATTATTATATTAATAATTTAATACCTGTACATTTGTCCATAATGTTCCATGGCTAAAACCCATATGCAAAGTGATTTTGCTACATTAGATACTTTCCCAATATAATCTGGATTAAACTCTGGTATTGCAATATACTTCGAAATTTTTCTTAACATTTTATCAGTTATTCTTTCTGGCTTATACTGTTTCAATTCCTGGATAAAATTTGCTTCACCTAAAAGTTTTCATAAAAGTTTAAAAATATTAGATAATATAATATTTTACATTTATCATAATATTACATATTTAAATATTTCAATATAGTAATACCTCGACTTCTGCTACCCCAACTTACGTGAACCCAGAGTTACGCGATTTTCAAATCTCGTCAATTCGTCTTTTGTTTAAGCACCATGCAATTCTTCATTACTCACTCCCCCCACACTATTGTTCGGCTTACATGTTCAAACGTGTCATGCAGAATCGACACATAGCTACAATTTATTTTGTGTTATTTATTTCTGTGTTTGTTATATCTACAGAGATTTGAGAGAATTTATGTGGTGATTTCTTGTAACTGGGAACGAATCAAAAGACGAGATAAGATTAACGAGAACATTTATTAACTTACATACATCCAACTTGGATTTTACACAAATTACGAAATTATACCCCGACTTACACGAATTCGGTCCCACCTATCGCGTAAGTTCGGGGTATTACTGTACATGAAATATACCATATTTACTAGCATATAAGATGAAGTTTTCATTAATTTTTCACTGTTTTGAAAACCTAGTTCATCCTATATGCGTGAGTGAAAGATTCTTTGCATTTTTGCAATAATTTCTGTAAACTGTGTATAGTTTATGCTGCCATTGTAGCAGGGTGCTATTGAGGTCTAGGTAAATGTTGCTTTCAAAGAAATGGTCCGAAAATAGCTTTGAGGAAAGGAATGATCGATCGCTATTTCTGGATTGTTAAATACTGGTATACAGTCTATTTATTGTAAGTTGGCACCTACTGTAAACAAACTAAAACACATCCCTCTTTGTTTGTTGGTTTAAACCTACATCAATCAATTAAAAACCACATTGCATCTTATTCGTTGACAGAAAATAGTTCCTGATTATTTATAAAATCATTATTGAAATACAGCCACTTAGTAGTGATTATAAATATAGTTATTACATATTTATTAAATTAATATTTTTAATAAATATTAGCACATTCTGAATCATTAAAAATAACTTTTTCCAGTCATGTGCATTATGATGTTTTGGTTTTGTTTTCCATTCATCACATATTAAGGCAAACAACCATGTTTGCCTTAATAAGTGCATTTAATATTATTTTATTTGTGATTGAACAAAATAAAATTAGAATTATATTCATAAATCTAATTTTCTTTATTTTGATCTTTAAAGTCATACTTCATCCTATTATATGAGATTGTCTTATATGTGAGTAAATATGGTATGTACAAGTAACAAATTAAGAGTTGCTTGGCCCCTAACAACCTAGACTTCAAGGGCCTATTCAGAGATGGAAATAAGACCGTTGATTCCCTGAATCCTAACCTTATTCTTCACAAAGGAGTAATCGTGAAACTAAAAAGTTAACTTATTTAACAATTCTATATCAAGAATGGCTCTTTCAATGCCAATATCATATAATAACACCACATTAATTTACCCAATAGCTCCCTTTTTCATCAGAATGCCCTTTTCAGAAGTATCAATTTTAGCCAGTCTCAACTTGCAGAGTGCTGGGTGTATTATAAACAACTCAACTGACCAGATAATATGGTACAAATAACTCTTTATTAATACAACTAAACACTTCTACATCCAGCTGGTTACTTCAAGCTCTCTTGCTCACTTTCCGTCCCACCACCTTGGCACCTACTCGATTACATTTCCTTTGTTTAAATCGTCAACATATTACATTACATTTAATGTTTATCTAAATCATCAACATATTTTACATCTCCCCCTTCTATTTTACTGATGGTAATCCAGATACCGTCTTGAGATTCGTATAGGTCTGCCACTACAAGTTTTATGAAGGTCCTCTTCACCCGGTGGAGAGTTTTGTAAGATTTCTAGTATTGGCTCATAAAGTTCCCTATTCCTGGATCCTGTTCCATTTTCCGTCCTGGGAGTTTCTTCCTCGGGAGTATTCTGGTTGGATGATCCAGTCGATTTCTCTTCATCGATAATCCGTGGTTCATCTTCCTGGGAGACTGTCTGGGGAATAGACGATGGGTGTAAATGTATTCTGTTCCTGCGGAACATGCCTCTTGGAGTTTCGATAATGTAAGATCTTGGAGTACGGTGAGCCTCCTTCACCTTTCCATATGTTTGCATATCTGACACCCAGACTGGCTGTCCTATCTTCAAACGTGAAAGAGTTTTTACACCATGGCGTCGATCAAAATGGGTTTTCTGTTTATTTGCCTTCCCCTTTTCCTTCTTTCTTACTGAAGCGAAATCAATCAAACGAGGTATCAATTGGTGATTATTTGATGGCAGGGGTGTTTTCAATATTCGGCTCATTAGCAGTTCTGCCGGACTATAGCCATTCTCTAATGATGTAGATCTCATTGCTAGAAGCATCAAATAATGATCTTGCGACTCAGATTTCAAGTAATGACTTTTGAAATTTTTGACCATTGATTCAATGAATCCATTGCTTTGAGGGTATCTTGGACTAGAAGTTATACTTGAAAATTTATACTTTTCTGCAAATTTATGGTATTCCGAGTTGACAACCTGGGAAAATTGGGTGCCATTGTCACTTCGTATAATCTCTGGAATTCCATGTCTTGCGAAAATTGATTTCATGTGGTTAATTACTGACAACGATGACAATTCCTCCAATCTGGCAACTTCAAAATATCTTGAAAAGTAGTCAGCCATTATGAGATACCAGTGGCTTTTTAGTTTTAGAAGATCTACCCCTACAATTTGCCAAGGTCTCTCAGGAAATTCACTTGGGATAAGAGGCTCTTTATGACACTTTTGGTATTGGATGCATATTGAGCAGTTCGAAATCAATTTCTCAATGTTCACCGATAAGCCTGGCCACCAAACAGACTCTCAAGCTCGGGCTCGATACTTTGTTATTCCAAGATGGCCTTCATGTAACCTGTTCAATATTTCTCCTTGAAGCTTTTCTGGAATTACAATCCTGGCATCTTTAAATAAAATCTTATTTTGGAAAGTAATTGAGTTTCTGTGCTCCCAATATCTTCGTATTTTCTCAGGTATTTTGTTTTTCTACGGCCAACCCTCTTCGCAATCCCATCAATGTTTTGCAAATTGGATCTCTCTCTTGTAAATACATGATTTCCAATAACCGTTTATCAGAAGCAGGAAAGGTGTCGATAATATTTTGAACATAAGCCTCAATCTCCTCGGTCAATTCTTCATTTCACTGTTCAGGTATGGGGCTACGGGATAATGCATCTGCAATTATAAGCTGCTTTCCCTGTTTGTACACAATGCTATAATCATATCTCATCATTTGTAGCTTCATTCATTGCAGTCTTGGAGTTAGACTGTCCAAAGCCTTCGACATGAATCTCTCGCAAGCCCAAACAATTCCAAAGCCTCCTTCTCAATTTGCACATACTGTTTCTCGGTATCTGACAATGTCCTAGATGTGTAGCAAATTAAAGACATGTGACCACTTTTACTCTGATACAATACAGTGCCAAGATCGTAAGATGATGCGTCACAGGAAATATATGTTTCTTTCTTTGGATCATACATTGATAATCCTGGAGTTTGACATAGCTGATTCTTGATCTCTTGGAACGATGTTTCCTGTGCTGGCCCCCATAACCATTCTACGTTGCTCTTTAGCAGTTCGTACAGAGGGTTTGCAACATCAGCCATCCTTGGTATGAATTTGTTTAGGAATCCACTCATGCCCAAAAATCTTTTCAGCTCTGTGACAGAGCTAGGTCTTGGGAGCTTTGCTATTGCTTCTGTTTTCTTGGGATCAGGTTTTATACCTTCATGCGAGATTACATGTCCGAGAAACTTGACTTCTTTCGTTCTGAACAGACATTTTTCAGCATTTAAAGTCCACCCTGCATTTTGAAGTGTACGAAGAACTTTATGCAGACGTTTATCATGTTCTTCTTCTGTGGCCCCAAATATCACGAATTCATCCATTAGTCCTACAATTCCAGGGCCCTCTGGTATTGTTTCACGTATTCTTTTCTGAAATATTTCAGGCGCCGACTTAATTCCAAACGGCAACCGTTTAAATCTGAACCTCCCAAAGGGTGTTATAAATGTTGCCAAGTGTGAGATCTGCCAGGATGTAGATCTTAGCCTATGACACTTACGGCGCGCGATCGTGTGATCGGCTCTCTAAACTTTTTACAGGAGGGCGATAATCGCTATATGATCCGAACAGCGACGTTCAGATCCCCGTCAGGATTCCTTGACACCAGTTAATCAATCTTATTATACGCGGATAAACACGCGTTTGCGATCTGATTCCGAATCAATTGAAGAGACATTTAGGTATATTTAACAAAAGTAAATTTAATAATTCTAAAACAAACGAATACAAATAATCGATGAACAACAATTAAGCGACAAGCTAGAGGCTAAGACTTATTCTATGCTAATGCGCGATTGAGAGAGAGAGCTCACAAAATCTTTCCAAAACATACGACCTGTTTAGTTGTCGTCGTCTTCTTCCCTGTAGGTAAGGGACACCTTGTAGATAGAGTTCATATTACTTTCGTACGGGAGATCAATACGTGCACAAAATATTAAAGTATCACTTCTACGTGTAGACTTGGGACTTAGTCTATGGGACTCCATTAAGGGCGTTGGTCATCAGGAGGAAAACTGTGTGGAGTTTTGACGCTTCGGATCTGTCGAAGAACTCCTCGAATTCGGACTACATTCCCTTATATCTCCTGAATTTTGACCAATCGTCGTCCAGTAACTCTTTCGTGAGAACGGACGAAAGGGGAATCGAAGAGGGGTAACCATTTCCCATCTGAGCGAGATTTTCAACCAGATAAGGGAAAGTCAGAGGATGTTCTCTTCTGTGAAAGGAAGTAGCATCTGTTATCTGGGTTTTTCCCACGTCTAAAACGTTAGTTTTTCACAAAAATTAAGTAATATTTTGTGTTGATAATTTACCATTATTAATAAAAATTCATAAATTAGACCCAGGGGCCTTTCGGGTCTCACACAAGTAAGATGATTCAGGATCCAATGCAATTTGCAAAAACCTTGCATTAGCATCAATACTACTAAAGATTTTTGCATTATGAAATTGGCTGAGTGTATAGTCAACCAATGCCATTGGAAAGTATTCTCTCGCAATGCTCTCATTCAATTTAGATCAGGGGTCGCCAAACTTCTTTAACCGTCAACCCCCAACCACTTTCCAAAGCCTCACATTGACCCCACTGTAAAGTTTTATTACAAGTGTATGTGCAAAAAAAAAAGGTCGTGACCCCTTAGCCACATCGACCCCCCAATGATGTTGCATCAACCCCAGGGGGTCGATATCGACCACTTTGGCGACTCCTGATTTAGATAGATTGACGCAAATTCTTATTTCGCCTGATTTCTTCAAAACCAAAACCATTGGAGCACACCATTCTGCAGGTTCATCTACTGCCTTGATTATTCCCTTATTTACCATCTCATCCAGCATTTTCTTGAGCTTATCTTTCAAGGGCAATGGTACTTTTTGAGGAACTGCCGGAGTGTAAGGCTTTGCTTCCGGTTTAAGTTTAATGTGATAGGGTTTCTGTACTTTTCCAATCCCCTGAAATAGATTGGGGAATTCTTTAAATGGATCAAAAGTAGAGTTTAGTTCCTGTATTCTTTTCACAAGATTTAACTGTTCACACGCTTTACCACTCAACAAGGAGTGTTCTAGTTTATCTATAACATATATGTCTTCTTGAATGTGGAATCTCTTATTTCTTAGCTTTTCCGTGAACACTCCCACAACATCCAGAGTTTTTTTTACCAGGGCCGTGTATAGATCTATTCGTTTCTTGTAATTTAACACGAGATAGCACTCTGTTATATGTCTCGTGTGGTATAACTGTGACATCTGCTCCTGTGTCAATCTTGAAGTTTAAAGGAATGTCTCCCACGAAAATGTCTGCATTCCACTGGTTAAACTGTTTCTTAACGCTATTGTTTATATTACTTGACCCTTTAACATGTCCTAGAAATGAACTTTGATTAGGTTCTCCTATTTCATTTATACTCACTTTAGCTTTACAGACCTTTGCGTAATGACCTACTTTTTCGCACTTATTACAGATCGCCTTATGAGCAGGGCAATTGAATTTAGTATGTTTCACCAGTTTTCCACACCAATAACAGGAATTTACAGTTTTGTTTCCAGTAAACGAATTGTCGGGAGCTTCCGGCTTCGAAATTACATTCTTCCTACCTGCATTTTTGCGTAATGCATATATGTTATTCCCGGAATTGTTCTTAAAAGCTTCTTGTTGCTTTTTCACTGTTTCAGCCTGTCTCGCAGTGTTTATTGCTTTCTCCAGAGTTAGTTCCATTTCAAGTTGCAAACATTCCGAAACCTTTTGTCTCTAATGCCGCAAACTATTCTGTCCCTAATCATTTCATCTTGAAACGAAGCAGGGAAATTACACGTTTTAACCAGACTATATAATGAAGTCACGAAATTCTCAACTGTTTCTCCTTCTTCTTGAAACTGAGAATAGAATTTATATCTTTCATATATAACATTTTTAGTTAGGATGAAGTATTTTTCGAATGCCGCCTTAACTTTTGAATAGTCATTTCTATCCTCTTCTGGGAGACTAAATGACGCCAAAATTTCCTCGGCTTTCTGTCCCATTAAATATATGAAAGAATTTACCTGGTCAGTTTCCTCTTTATTATGGAGTCCAGACACTGTTCGAAATCATTCGAAACGCCCTATCCATGTTCTCCAATCTTCGGGACAAAAATTAAAAACTTCTGGCGCTGGGATCTGATACATTTTCCTCTACGCTGCCACCATGTATTATAAACGACTCAACTGACAAGATAATATGGTACGAATAACTCTTTATTAATACAACTAAACACTTCTACATCCAGCTGGTTACTTCGAGCTCTCTCGCTCGCTTTCCGTCCCGCCACCTCGGCACCTACTCGATTACATTTCCTTTGTTTAAATCGTCAACATATTACATTACATTTAATGTTTATCTAAATCATCAACATATATTACACTGGGTCCTATTCTATTCCTTCATCAGTTTAACTCAATCAGTATTTCTACAGTTAGGATATCTCTTGCATGGTGGTATGGGTTGTCACAAGTAACACATCATTTATTGTTCAATTGTTTCAATTGTCTTGTCTTTGTGCCACTCTTGGTTAACTTCGCGATTGATTTGCAAATGATCTCACTGTGGCTTTTAGGCAAGAAAATATCATCTCTATTAGTTTCAAAACCAATGATACTTTCTAATTCACTTTGATCATTGGTAGAGTTTTGTATAATAGCAATATTTCTATTATTTGCCAAATATCCACATTCATTATTGGCCTTTTATTAACACTCACAACTCTCCACAACTTCGTCTAATGTCTTTGATCCACCCCAGAGGACATGCTCACATAGTGCCAAGGTTGCCATGTAAAAACAAAAGTTTAATTTATGATTGTGGTGACAGCTTTGGTAATAAATCCAAAAGTTGCTACCAGGAGGAACTCTGAACTGAACAGACCAGGCAACCTGACCTATGACCTCATACTTTGGATTCAAACCTTGCTCTAGACACATGTGTTCTCACATGTGTTCTCACTTCTGTGCTCCACTTGTACAATCGCACAGTATCTCATGTATATAATAAATTTAAGTTTTTTGTATGTAACCTTGTTTGTGTATAGTAATTAATTAAGCACGAACTAGCGCCACAATGATTTCCATTACATTGTAAATAACATTGACAAATGTAAAACCCAGTTTCTCAACCTCTTGGCTTTATGCCATTGTATAATTTTTGCACAGTCAGAGTTTTAGCATAATCCTCTGTTCTTTGTTCCTTCTTACTTCTAAAACTTTCTATTCTTGCTCTGTTCCCTTAGGTGGTGAGAGCTGATTCATTCGAAACATAGAGGGGGAAATGCTACCTGAGTGCACATGTTGGAGCAAGCCCTTCGTACTGGCCCTCATAAAGTAAGGATGGAGAAAATGGTACTTCTTGTTATCGAGATATGTGCCAACTTCAGTGGACATACATAAACAGATAGCCCTGGCCCATACAAGTCGACAAAGGGAAGACTTGCCCATAGGCTCGCCAATCCACTTCAAATCCTTCTCCCTCTGATTGAGCAAACATCGTATCCTCAAATAACAAAACTATAGGTATTTGTAGATTATTGCAAACTCTTTCTCCGTGAGATTAGTGTCAGAGATAGGTCAATAGGTTAAGCATGTGCCTTGCAAGCTGAACAGAAACTTTTGTCATTCCACTCCATAGGAGTTTATATGTAACAGCATTTAAGCACATTTAATTGTATATCTGGTATATGTATTATAGAATTAGTTATATGATAAACTTTTATTTATTTGTTAAAAACCTGTCTTCTGTCTCTTCAGAAAATGGACACCTATCGGCTTACCCATCCCCACTCAATAACTTACCCCTCTATCATTTTTAAGCCATCCAATGACCTGAAGATCAGGCTTTACCAGCCCATGCAGAGTAAGTGGTCATAAAGAATTGTCCCTTGATTCTTGGCTTATCTCACAGGATTTTTCTTACCATGTTTTGATTTTTTAACCTAATCTGGAACTTTTTAAAAACAACTTGTGTTATGCGTGAGTTGAAATATATATATAGCAGAAGTCAATATTTAATGGTGAAATATTGTACAAGACTGAATTTTAGGAATATCTGTTTCTTATAATCTATTATAATATAATATATTATTTCTTACTTATTCATAAATATACCTAATTGTTTTTTAGCTTCATTCCAAGATTCTTCAGCANTAAATATTTAAATTCCAGATCTATTCACTTTCAATGTTTTTTTTATACTCTAAATATAAAGTAGAAGTTTATTAGAATTGCAATTTGAAAACTTGTGCATGAAATGCAAATACAGTAGAGCATCGATAATCTGAATCAATTGGGGACTGAGGTTGTTCAGAAAATCGATTTTTCAGATAACTGATTATGTACAAAAAAATATATTATAATCTTGTTATAAATATAAAATAACCTATCCCATGTTGAAATTCATTCAAATCCTGGCACATCTTTAAGTACCCTCTCATGGTCATGCTAGTGCTGCCAGCTAAAACATGCACACTAACAAAAATAATAATGGAGTAGCCCAAGACATAGCCAAAGATTGCAGTGCCACAACACTAGCGGAAATTTAAATTTGCCGACTGGAAAGCTTTCAGTTAATTGACATTTCAATTGATCAATATTTGGACAATCAATGCTCTACTGTACTAAAATTATTAAAATTTTTTTTAATATCTTTGTTAAAAATAAAAAATCAGAAATTATTAAACTATTCCTTTTAATCTTCAGATAAAGGCTACATAACATAAAACAAATAAAATGAAACTGAAACATCATAAAACTCCAGAGTGCCATCTGAGCTTTAAGATGAATATATAAAAGTACAACAAAATAAATGTTGACAGATTATAAGATCAAATTATTTAACAATCATTTATTTAAAATTTCTTGTTACATGATTTATCTTCATCACATGATAAATCTATAAAGTATTAAAAATGTGCATGAATGTAAAAACATTAATATTCTAGATGTCTAGTACTTGCAATCAGTTTTGAATCTAAAAGTTTTTTCTGATAGTAAATTTTCTGATAAAAGTTTTTTCTTTTTTCTGTTCTATTTTCAGATCATAAAGTCTGAATTAGTTACATATGATTAAAATAAGTTACAAAAATTTTAGAGTAAATAGACTATCATTTTTTGGAGAAATTTGTATTCTCCAAATAAAAAACCTGTAAGTATTCTCTCAATTCAACAATGCATGCAATTACAGATTACTATTAATACATAACATGATATTATATATTAATAATAATTATATATTATAA